TTATCAACATGAGAAAATCCTACAGACCTTGCGAGGTTTGCGTAGTGAGATATCTTGTGCATTACAAGTGATAACAGGGAGGAAAAAGTTCCGCAGGGTGTACAAAGTGAAGAATCTGCAAGATATACCCGGTGAACGCATGTAAAAGCTCCTGCGGGGTGTGCCTAGAAAAGAATCCTCCAAGATCCTGCAGGAAAGAAACTTGAGAAGTGATTGTGTTAAAGAATCCTGCTTAGTTAAATTCACCAACTGGAGGAAAATTTTCGACAAAGTAACGTGATGTAAAAACCTACAGTATATATCCAACAGTCACAAGGTTTTAGCAAATTCATGCGTGTCAACGCAGGAATTCGTAATTTTTTTTTCAGTGGGTAGAGCCATAATCACACTTCACTTGCATTTTGCTTTAACAGGCTGTACATCCATCAAATTATTCAATATCACATTTGTTGGTAGACTTTCAATGCCAAGTTGCAAATTCAATGGTCTTCTACATGTCGGACACGATATTGTACGTTGATGAGGATCAAACATTCCTTGATTATGATAGAAATAAGATTATAAGTAATAATCGTTCGATGACATTTTAAGGACTATTTACCTTCTAAACATCTTTTACAAAACGTATGTTGACATGGTAGAACTCGAGGGCTAAAATTAAAAAAAGAAGAGGTTGAAAGTAGTAGAATAACACAATCAGTCCATTAGATGCTTACTTTTGAAATCGATCTAAACAAATTGCGCATTGGAGTATAGAATCCAAACTTTCAATCAAATAAACACTCATATCTGCAATATATAGATAATACAAAATTACTTAGTATAAAAACTGGAGTCAGATCGTGAAAATTTCCGTTCACGACAGAAAAATCAGGATCCTCCCAAAATGATTTAAGAACCCGAATCGCTAGGTTATAGTAGATTTTCGAAAAAATATTCATTTTCGTATAGTCCTTAGATTTCTCCTGAATTGTAATATCTTTCATACATCTCACAAAAAATGCAGACACATCTACAACTAGAATGTACGAACGATGTACCATGTTTGGGAATTCGTTTTATCAGATTTTTACGTTTTTCCAACTGTCGTATATCAGACTGCGAAACAAGTTTCAGGTTAGAAGACCAAAAATATGAAAGAAAAGACAAATGATTGTAACAGACAAGACGAACAGTCATATTAGTTTTATGATTACCAATTAAATAACCAAGAACTGTTGAAACAAATTCATCCAGCAAAAAAATCCACTCATGTTGCCAAATACCGCGTAAAAAAATGAAAAACAGTTTCGTTTATTTACTTCTATTTTGTTTTCCTCTTTCCATTGCTATGTTCAAATTGAACAGCTATTAAAATCTAAATAATCTGAATTTTCATCTGATATTTCTCTGACCTTTCTTTTAAAGTTATACTCTACAGATCTTGAGACAAATCAAGCTTCATCTGCACTTATGTTAATTACGTCAGTGTTCTTTTCGCTTTGATTCTCTAGCAAACGAATACTGTGTGGTTATTACTCTCGACCAGTCATTATAGGCCGAATAGATGGCACTAATCACGATTTGAAATGGAAAAATGGAATTCTAGATTACAGTTTTTTTCATTCCCGGTCAGCAAAAAGTCATAAAATAACTCGTAACTGTAAAACGATGCGCTTATTAAGATCCGCAAAAGTCGAGACTCTAGAAATAAGACATAAGAGTGTCCATTGTAGTTCGTACTCATTACATCAGTTACTAGTATCATATCACCGGATCGAAAACTTTTAAAAGATGGTTCGGTCAAAACCGATTGTAGATTCGTCTTCTCCATGGTTTACTATGCGTTACGCAATAACTTTTGGATCCGGGTACTTTAGAAAAAAAACTTTCCAGGGTCTTGCTCAAAAATTTTTCAAAAAGTTACCGTATGGGACCACGAACAAAACGATGTCGAAAAATTTTTCCAAAGTACCCCGATCCAGAAGTTATCGCGTACCACATAATTAATCATGGAGAAGACGAATCTGCAATCGGTTTGAGCGAACAAGCTTTTAAAATTTTATGCAGTGTAGTTCTGGAAGTCTTATTATCATCTATTCGTGTCAAGGTGTATTTATAGTATTGTATTTATAAAGTATTTAATTACACAGGTATACATATGAAAAATAAAAAATACTGCACTATAAAAAAATATCAATTGAACGCGTATTTCATACAAGTGTTTCTAGATGATTATCTTCTGACGACAAGGAGCTTACCCCTGTATCAGAATTATCTGAATCTGTTTCATAAATTAATTTTCGAAGTCTTTTCGAACCTTCACTTTTTTCTTTTAACATTTTCAATACATGATTTTGTTCACAATTTAGCATGTTTTGTTCGATACTAACTGAACGCCTTAGTGACTTTGGTGTTCTACGAATCATAGCTGTACCAATTTGAGGTCTCCAGTCGCAGTTGTTCATTAATCTTTTCCCCATCTCATCGTCCCCATCACTACCATGGTTGTCTACAGATTTCTTTAAGATACTTTTCAATTGTGAGGGCTGTTCCACTTTAGATTTCTTTAAAAAATTAGAATCATTCAGTAATTCTTCAATTTTACTCTTCTTGGTTATTTTCTTCTCGTTGAATTGTACTTTCGATCGACTATGTGAGTGGCAACGACTTTTAGTTAATTGATTATTTTCATTGGTAAAATAAGATTGTTTTGCACTAGGAGTTTCATCAGATGCTATTTGACACGTTAAATCATAACGAGACTTTCGAGCATGATCCCGCATCGACCGATTTTCTCTAAAAAAGGAAAAAAGGAAATTAGAATTTGAGGACGAGCACTATCGTCACTGAGAGTCATTTGAAGCCTAAAGAATGATATTATTTACTTTAGTATTATATAATATCGGGAATTACGAAGTCTCCTTTCGATTCATCTCCCGGGACAGTAAATACATCTTTTTCCAGTATCAATTCATGAAATAGTCAAGTGAATCATAACTTACGCATAATTTTCCTTTGAACTATTTTGTATTTCACTACTCAAATGGTAATAATTGTCGGAATTTGTTCTATCACTCAATACCATTTTCTGTAGTTCCGAAATAATTTGTTGTTGTTGACGTATAAACGATTCTTGTGTACGTAACTGTTCAGACACATGCAGAATATGATTGTTCTCAAATGTAGACGAAATTGGATTATTTTGTGTTAGTTTTTTTCGTTGTGCATAACGTTGTTTCAAACGTGATGGGGAAGCAATACGTTTAAATGCTAGTGTAAATAGAATTTCTGAACTTCTATTCCAGTATCTTGCATATAAGTCTTGGATGTAATCATCATGTCTTAGTGGAAATAAGCATGAGTCACGTTCCATATATAAAGAACAATCACTAGGTTCAACATCATCTTCGTACGTATTAAATAACAACGCTTCAATAACATTGTGAACAGATGTTGCACGACTAATATTTGTGATACGTTTAAGGATACCACGAACACGAACAATACATTCCGTAAAAGGAGAAGTATAATCATCGTAGAAATAATCTGAAATAGAAATTCGATCAATGACTATGAAACTTTCTTCGCAGAAAAGGTCCTGTCAGATATACAAAATCTTCTAGGTAACTATTACCATAAATCGACTTTGTACTTTAATATAAATCTTAAAATATTTCTTACCTTGCATATTGTTTTTTCCGTTCAAACAAATATTCTATTGAATTAGTTCGATTATATTGAAGATTAAAGTGAGGAATGATTAGTGTTGTTTATCCAACGTCTCACACTTTATGTAATGTCGAGATAGTCAATTTATTTCTAGTGTTTTTATCTTTCTATTTCTTCTTTATTCTCTCTTTCTCTCTCTCTTTTTTTTTTTCTATAAGACTTCCCTTTTGACAATTGGTTCTAACAATTAAAATCAATATCTATCTATTTGTCTAACATAATTTGTTAATCGACTAAATGAAGCTCAACAATCCAATATAGATCTCAGTTAGTGTTTAATTGATTATATATCTATGAAAGGTAAAACTGTTAAATAGTAAATAAAAATAGATATAATGTTTAATTCATGCGCATAGCTAACAGGCAAGAAATGTATCCGTTTCAACACCTGAAACTATTTTATAATACAATTAAGAAAAAGGGAAGAAATCCATCATAAACCGATCTACTCCACACGATTAGCATCTAGTATAAATAGGATTATAATAGACGTATACATTCAATCAAATTGATATTAGGCAATAGAAGGAAAACAGTCTACTTGTGTATAATAATGGATGATTGACACAAACATTCACACTAGAATGTGTTTTTTATTTATATTATTATTTCCTCATCCTCTGACAGTCCATAATTATTACACTTTTATCGAGTTTAAGCGCTTGTTTCCACGATACAGTAATGTAAAATGTTTAGCAAAGGTGCATCACAGTTTAGACATAATGACATTAGGTTGTATTTCAGGAAACTTTCCTAAGATTCTGTTAGCTAGATACATAAACTTCTTTTGATTTAGTAGTAATAACAGCCAACCTCGATTCGTTCTTCATATGCAGGCAGACACTAAATTAAAATTAATTAATTATTTTTTCGTTAAAAATAAGCAGGATATACGAAACTGGCCAATTATTTTTGTTAATTGACATCTGGAGAGAGTAATTGTGTAGTATTTAAGCATAATTTTATAATCGTGTTTTTCTTAAACTTCCGCTGAACTGCAACGGTAAGCGCTTACGAATTTGAGCGCTTATTGTGGTTGCTCTGAAGAGACCTTCCAGTGAGTTTCTCTTTCAATACACTCACGGTCGACAGAACCTGGTTCTACGTTGTAAAAGCATATATAATGAAATAGAATATGTTTACATGCTAAGTAAAAATATACCGATCCGTCATATTGCTAGAGAAAATCTATGACCCATTTGTCGTAGTCTTAGGTGCACAGCTAGGAAGATAATGCAGACATCGGATCTACTTCTAAGCTGTGTGTTGATTTTTTAGGAGATCAGTTCATTTCGTATTTATTAAAGAACAAATATAAAGTTAATATATCGTTCATTTATTCTTGGGCGTTACTTATTTGTTTTGAACGAGAGAGAGAGAGAGAGAGAGAGAGAGAGAAAGCGACGGTAAAATTGCCTTTTCTTCTTCAATTTAGAATTAGACTAAGTGATTTGATGATTTCAAAGGCATTCGTAATCTTCTCAACACAGTTTTATCGTTCATTGATCTCTTTCAGACAAATGACGTGTAAGGGGTTAGCTAGATGAATTTATTCATAAATAAAAAAGTTTATTCACACTCTCTTTCTTTTGTGCAATGCTTCATATATATTCTTAGGGTAAAGTATGTTTGGCTTCTAAGATTTACTGTTTGGATAATTAGAAAAAATTCTTATTGATACAATCGTTTTCAAAGTGGATTTCCATTAAAATGTATCTATGATTATAATATTTATCTTAGATGCATTCTCTGCAGGGATCACTCGACCACAAGCCGAGGTGGAAAGTTGTTGATCTTAGAAATTGACAGAACTTTCAGAATCTGCTAACTGGGCACTAGAAATATGATTTCCATGGAAAAAAATGTCAAAACGTTTTCTTCTGCCAACGGCAGGTTTCGGCGAAAGGATTTTCAAAAAACCAAAGTCCAGTCCTAACTTTTCAAACTTTTCTTCGACCACCAGTTTCGTCGAGCTGACCTTTTCTGTATTAAAAACTTCCAAAAAAGTGTCCCATTTTTTCAGAAAATCTCGCAATATAGTCAAACAAGAGCTGAGCAACGGCTCATTTTACTTAAAATTGAGCAGGTTCAATGAACTTTGATTGGTACCCAGCCCTGCAGGTCTTCGGAAGATTGCGGTGATTTTCGAGAGAACTTTCGTCAATGATACTTCTTATTGTTTGGAGGTTACAAAAAGTTAGTGGAATAATCTGATACAGCAAAGTTTCGGCTATAAAATGACTATTTGAAATTTTTTACCAACTTTTACTGCAAACCGGAAGTTTGTTCTCAAAAGAGAGCCGCATTTGGCTATATTTCGAGATTTTCTGAAAAATGGGACACTCTTTTGAAAGTTTTTAATACAGAAAGGATCAGCTCGACGAAACTGGTGGTCGAAGAAAATTTGGAAAAGTTTGGACTGGACTTTGGTTTTTTGAAAATCCTTCCGTCGAAACCTGCCACTGGTAGAAGAAAAAATTTTGACATTTTTTTCCATGGAAATCATATTTCTAGCACTTAGTTAGCAGGTCCTGAAAATTCCGTCGATTTCTGAGATCAATAACTTTCCACTTTGGCTTGTAATCGGACAATTCTTACAGAGAATGACTGAAGTACAACTTTTAGGATGAAAAAAAAAGCTACTCCAATATTTGATAAATTTGGATACATTTAATGCAAACATACTACATCTTGTATAGAAAAGGAAAATGGTACAACTACATAAATATATGAAAAACTAGGTTCAAAAGTAAACTATAATTAAATTGGTTAAACTTGTTCATTATAATTCATGAAATGTTTTACCTTTTGCGACAGCTTCATAATATTACTGTGTACAAAATGATGTTGTATTTTCATTTCACTTGAACGAGTTGCAGTTTAATAGTTGACTTTTTTCGCTCAACACAAAATATCATTATCTCTTTTTGGCTTGTTTCGATTTCGATTCTTTTCCGTCATTTCTCTTTTTCCTGGGCGGGACTAGAGCGCTAGTAGTAAAAAAGAATGTCAATCATTATCTTGACCAATGTGCGGATGAAGGTCAAATAAGGATAGCTAGATAGCACATGCGAAACAGGTATTTTCGCTTGCCAGAATGAAAGTACGCTGTGAAGAAAACCGACCTACTCTTTCTTCGATTTTTTCTTTAAGACCCTTCTGGACAGGTTTTCGTTATTTGTTTTGGAACCTAAAAGGGCAGATAAGGCACAATCAAATATTCTGCATGTATCTTAAAACATAAAAGTATCTGATGTTGTTTAAAGGCAGACGATAACTGTTTTATAGCTGTCTTTCCATCCCACTAAAGTATGACTCGAGCGAAAAGTTTTCCGATAGTTTGATTAAAGACGAAGTCTCGGTATTAAACATCATAGTTTCTCACACTAGAAGCCCACTGTACTCTTAAATGAAAGAATATTGCCTTATTTGCTCTTTCTCAACTTATTTTTAATCCTTTTGTTGGAATTTTTACGTGACTCTAACCCTACAGAAAATTTCACGATGATGTTTAAACGCGTAAAAAAGTACAGATGAATGGTTGGCGAATTTTTTATTCAGAAAAACCATTTTGTCACACTAATGTTGTATTCAACTAATCTATTATATAATTATGAGTTATCCTATAGATACTTAAAGAGTGATTCTAGAATTAGTTTTTCTATCAGAATGACCTCATTGTAATGCTATTGATAAGACTCTACCTTTCTCTATTTTATTTTTTTGTTTGGATCGCGGTTTGTTCTTCAATGATAATTTCTTCGCTCTAAAGTATTCAGATATATAATAGTGAATACAGTTAATTAATGCAGAATTTGCCAAATTGTTTGAACAAGATGTAAGATTCAGTTCGTACACTCTTAAAAATAATCCATCTTATAGTATCCGTCTTACTATTGCATTAGTCTTATTTATTCTCAGCCGTCTTATTTTACGACGTTTGGTTCTGCAGGTCGTTCTTCCGTCTTATTCTTAGGCTGGAAGAAGTCATTCACCTCCTTTATTTTGCGTTCGTCACGTGTATACAAATAGGATGATTACTTCAAAACTTGTCAATTTATTTTGATTTCTTACTAAAATCACTGATATGATCATTACTTCTCATGTCAAACAATTCTACTGTAAGATCCTATGAGATTCTTACAAGCTCTTACAAAGTCCTACTTTAGGATCCTGTTACATCCTACGAAAATCTTATAGGACTGTGTAGAAAAGCCTCAAAGCCAAAAACTCCTGCTCTAAGAGTCTTATAGGATCCTGTAGTCCGATCTTGTATAACCTTGCAAGATCCTATTGTAGGATTGCAGTACGATTTTAGCTGATTTTTTGCTGATTTATCCTACTAGGTTTATCGTTTTCATTTGTTTAACTATTCTCGGATTTCACGTTCGAACACTTTAAACGCATTCATAGAGTCTGCGTTTAAAGGTGTTTAGGAAAGGATGTTCAAACGTGTTCATTCTGTTCGAATATGTTCAAATGTCGTTCACATCGATTTGGGTGATGGATGACAGCAGAGCTGGGCAAGTCAAGTCAAAAATGCCTCAAGTTCAAGTTAAGTCAAGTCAAAAATGCCTCAAGTTCAAGTTAAGTCAAGTCAGACTTGATTTGACTTGACTTGGTCCAACATTTTTTGGAGTGTGACTTGACTTGAGAAACTTTTTCAAGTCAAGTCAGTTCTAGTAAGAGGTTTTCGTTTAAATTAGACCTTTTCTACCATGAAAGAGAGTTTCTGAGGCTATAAAAACTCTTTCACTCAAAAGAGCAATTTTCTAGTAAATTTTATGTTCTGCCTAATTTTAACCAGACTTGACTTGACTTAGGAGAAAAAATTTTCCGACCACGACTTGAAACTTTTTTAGTGACTTGACTTGACTTGACTTGACTTGTGACTTGCAAAACTCCTGACTTGCCCAGCTCTGGATGACAGATCAACTTGCAGAAATACAACAAGGAAATAATATAATGTTAGAACCGATATTGTCACCATTTGTTCAAAATGAACGTTTATGGGGATTTCATTGCTTGTTCAACTATGCCTTGTTCACTTTTATTTACAAATCGTCGAGAATTGAAGCAATATTTTGAAGTTTATGATCGTTGTTTAAAAGATTATAATCGGTATTATGATTATGTATTTAATATGTCAAATGAAGCCGAAATTAATTTATTTTGTTTTGGTATTCAAAATCAAAAACAGGTTCAATCAATCATCATACAACAATAGGATTACAAACAACAACAATTTATTTCACTCATCTTGAAAACTTCAAGATCAGTTTCGCCCGGTTCATCATCATTACGTACTTATCAATAACATCCAACAACAAATTGTGTTATATTGATTGAAGTTACAACAAAAAAGTACCACAATCCAAATCCAAAGTACCACAATCCAATATTTTTAGATTAAGTATTTAATTGATCTATTATGTCAAACATGGAAGGGTTTAGATCACGATATTATATATAGTTTAACTGGTTATTTTTTTACTTATTCACAACAAAAAGAAGCATTACTACGTGTTGTATTTTCTTAATAAGAAACAATTATTAGCACGTGAAGTATTATGGTATACGATGAATAATCAATCTTTCTAGTTTTCTTTTGTAAGATAAATGAAAATGTATAGAAAAATGTTTGTTTATTTTTCTTGGATTAGTTGATCTTTTCAAAGGTGATATCATCACTTTTATTTCCACCAGTATATTTTTTGACGTTGTTTTACTAGAGGCTTTAACTGCTACTTTGCGACATTTATCATACGTGCGTTGATAGATAGATATTTAGGTCGTCTACATGTAAAACGAAAATATCTCTCATTTGTGGAAAAATCGTGCACTTTTCTGTAACTGACGCAAAAAAATAAAAAGATTTTATAACATACGGAAGATAACAAACTGTGCACAGGAAACTTCTGATCAAGTTTTGTTGTCAAATTAAAACTATACAAGCAGAGAAGAAAATGAAGTTTATTAATGCTATTTTGAACTGGAGCATTCGAACCACTAGTCTTGGGATTCTGGTCAGTGAAATCGAGAAATTGCTAACAAGTCGGACTTAATAGACTCTAGACCGAGATCGAAGCATACGTAGCATTGTTTCGTACATAGCTGGGAAGAGTTTAAGCTTTTCGCTGGATTCTAGGGCAAATATAATGATTATGTAAAATCACCTATTAACATACGATGGTTGTTTCTCTTTGCCTTTTTTAAATGATGGTGGATTTACTGTTTCTTGTTTTGGTCTTTCAATTTCAACGTTATTCTCTGTTTTAACTAGTGGCTTTATTTCTTTACGTTTTTTTTCTACAACACCTGTGGCTCCTTTCATATCTGCCAATTTTATGGTCTGCTCGGTAATCGGAGGAGCTTTTCCTGGATGCCAAATATTATCTCGAAAATCAAAATAGACCTCTGCTTTTGTACCAGTTTCATTTCCGGAACCATCCAGTATACGTTTTGTAATTTCAAGATATGGATCTGAAAATACGACAATAACTTAATAACAGCGATAAAACTAATTATGACACGATAGCTCAGTTCTAGAAATAGTCATTACAGGATTTAACCATTTCAATTAAACAACATTTTTCAGTATTTTCCTGCTTGTTCATTATAATGAGCTGAGTAGAAGTCATTTTTTTTAGGGTTAAATAAGGTATCTTGTATATCTGAAAATATTCGAATACAAAATTCAATCTTGATCATACCGTTGAAAGATAATCCATGAAATTTTGTTAATTCTGGTGTACTGGCAATTAAATTCCAGTGGCCTTGAGTAGCCGTCCATTTTAAAATATCTGTCGATATTTTCATTTTTTTTCCACCTTTTTCATCTCGAGCATCAATGAGACCCGATAAACAGTAAACAGCGTCCTTAATAACAAATACTAAACTTCGACAACGTGGACTTGGTAAATCATTGGATTTTTCAAAACTAAACAAAGTTAATTAACTAATATTGTTATATACAATATGCTATGGGAGCAAGGTAAAATTAGTTAACTGATTGAAACATTACGTTCTAGTTTTTATATTGAATATGGTGAAATCAGCTGATAAAATTGTTTGATTTTGCAATATATCATAGCCACCACATAAATAAATTCGTTCACCATCGACACTCATTCCTGGAGCAGCAACAGGACTAACTAATGTACCGATCGTTTCCCATGTACTCTTGTCTATATTAAACCGTTGAATATCAGTAAGAAGACTAATCAAAAAAAAAAAAGAAGTGTTTATCAGCATTTAAAATCAACAAAATTTTAAGTTTTCTATAATTTATTTTAGGTGTCTTTGTGTTCTTACTTATTTTTAATTGTTTGACCACCTGCTATATAAATTGCTGTTCCATCAGAATTAACTCCAAAATTCACTCTGCATGGATATAACCGAGATATTAGTTCAACATTTCCATCTGGTCTCATGAGGAAATCTTGAAGTGGTTCATACTGAGCAGGAACATTTACATGCAAAATGTAGCCACCTAAAAGCTCAAAAAACGCATTCATCTTGTTCCTCAATTGTTTTCATTCTCACCGATGATATAAATGCCTTTCTCCTCGTGTCTGAAAAATACAACATAATTTTTGTGAAGAAAGTATGACAAGTAGCGGATACTCTAAAATGATCTAACACTCACATTAGAGCATATCGTTTTCTTGGCTCTATTAACTGAAGTTTTTTCATTGCCTCATTATCTTCTTTATCCACAATACCTGTATCTAAAATATGCATATAGATATTTTATGACGAAAATATAAATAAACATTGACATACAATTTTACCTTTTTTAATCAACGGTCCCATAATAATGATGCCAGGTTCAAAAACAGCGGGATCATTGGCAGCATCACGGATCACGCCGTGCTAGAAGAAACAAATGATTACCAAGAAAAACATAAAAATCTATTGACTTTTACCTGTCTCCTCAAATTTGTAACGTATTTCTCAAATTCATCGATGCAATGAGTGACAATGGTCATTCGAGTTTTGACCACTTGTTCCATTGCAGATGGACATTGTAAGCGATGAATATTACCAAAATATTTTTTCTGATCTAAACCAAAGTAAAGAAGCTTAACAACTGATGAAGAGAAATTTTATTTACCTTTTATTTTGGCTTTGAATATGTCAATAATAATACCATGGACGTCTTTTATTTCAACTGTTTCAAATTGATTTTCATTAGCAATAGTCAGTTGCGGATAAGTTAAACTGGAGCTGATCGCCGCTGATTCAGCCGTAGGTAACTGTGAGTAACGGCTATGTGTTGTTGTATCATCTACTACAGTCGGCATCGATGTAAGTCTTTTTGATATCTGTTTTACAACTGCATCGGGTGTTTGTACTACATACGTTGTTTTTCGTTCTTCTGTCACTGTTGTTTGTTCACTTTGATATCCAGGCAATTGATCAGTACGTTTCGTAGACGAACTCGATGTTTCACTCGTCGTTGTTTTTATTGTCTCATCAGAATTAGTAAGAGATTCTGTTGAATTAGTTGTTTTTGTGTCATTTTCAATTGATTTATGTTTTTGATATTCTTCGCTATTAAGTGGTGCTTTTCGTCTAAGGTTTTTTGGGACTTCAATAGCAAATTCTGGAGAACTAGGACCACTTGTATTATGTAGTGCATCCCTTGAAACTTCGATCTTCTTTTTTTGGTTAATAGATTTTTTCGTTTTTTTGCCTTTCTTCTGAGATTTTGTTTTCAAACTTTTCTACAGAAATAGTAGGACAGATGATCCTGGAAAGTCTGTTTCTATATAGGAAAAAACTCTCTCAAATAAATAACGTACTTTGGTACTTTTTGTTTTGCCTTTTTTCACACTTTTCTTTTTAGAATATTTTGTATTCGTAATTTGATTGTTCATTTATCTTCTCAGCAATTTTTAATATTTCAACAATTTATATAACAATTCTTCTCGTCATATTTCCCATAACTTTAACCTTTATCGAGACGTTTCTTTTCATTCAACATTCAGAAGATTAGACCATCTAACGCTTCAACTGGCTTTTGAAAACAAAAAAAGATTGAAAATAAATAGAATTTAAATAAAATAATTTAACTATCCTTGTGTTTCGCGCTCTTGAATTTCAACATAATTGGATCACGTTCCATCAGCCTTAGTAAATTGACTTGGATAAGTAAACAGAGATATTGACAGTGGAAGATTTTGAAAACTAAAAGGTTTAGAACATTATTTGCTTTTCCCACATAGCAATTTCCAATTTATAGCAGAAGATTAGAGAAGTTTTCAATAGAAGCGAATCATCTGATAGTATATTGTGTAATTAGCCCGCAGTGTACTGGATCAATTCTTCTTTCCAAGTCATTTATATTGATTCATTAATAGCTGGTTCACAGATCATTAACAGTCAGTCTGAAATTAATGGTGTAAGAAAGATATAGGGACGTTGCGTTACGCCCCCCCCTCCCCAGAATGAAATCTTTTTGTATCAAAAAATCAATTTGGAGACAAGCACATGAAAAGATAGCCTGGATTGTTTACTTTCAGAAGCTGTATCGCAGAACTGTTTTTTGTGGTTTTCGAGAACAAGGGTCTTCAAATAATAAATTTTTCCTGGACACTTACAGGAGTAAATGTTATCTGAACACGTAAGCTTGTAGAGCAGAGTTTTCTGATCAAAATAAGACGTTGCACAAATCTGTGTGATCTTGTGTTCAAAAATTACAAGCATTTTCCTACGTGTCCTAAAATAGACCAACGAATGCGCAGCGTTTTCGCTTAAAACACGTTTTTTGTCCGAACATGCTCAGTGTGGGACACTTTTTTTAAATATACTTCAAGCTAGAGAGTGTGGGTTGATTTTATTTTAAACTAGACACCTAACTGCGTGGACTGATGGAAGCCGATTTTTGAATTAGGCCTTAGTTTAATAAAAAAGCAAGGATCTTCGGAAAATCCGAAAGGGTTTTTGAGGATCTTGGACCTCTGGAAATGAAAAAAGGCCTAAATCAAAAGTCTGTTCCTGTCAGTCCACGCAGTTAGGTGTCTAGTTTAAAATAAAACTAACCCACACTCTCTAGCTTGAAATATATTTAAAAAAAGTGTCTCATAATTGAAGGTGGTTTTTTAACCTTGGACTCTGGAAAACCCTGAAACGGTAAGGGATAGCGAAGAAAAAAAATTTCATAACCACATTTTGATATGGCAAATATTTGCTGAAAGCGTCATCAAAATCTTAATGTTACCAAACTACCAGTGTCAAGAATGTCAATTGACTGTCTAAAAACGAACCATTTACTGGGGAGTGAACGAATGGAATCAATAGCGTGCACCGTTAACAGCCTCGTTTTTAAAGCGTTTGTCGACCAATTCCGATTTACCTCTTTTATTTTGCTAAAACAGTCTGAAAAAAGGAGTGCAAGCAGACTATTTTTTTGATCGTAAAACGGTCCTACTTAAACGGTGGTCTATTAACGATACCATTTTCATAGACCTGGATTGGAACTTTATGTTTTACATGCAATCAGTCTCTTGTCTTGTGACGGACAGTAAATCTTTTTGTCTTTATAGATTATTCGTTGAAAACATTTAGCAGAAATTATGAAAGGTCCCGTCTCTCGTTTCTTTCAAAATGCACCAAAATATCGTTCAAGAAAAATAGGAATTCTAAATCACCTTTTAGCTAGAGTTACCAAAAAGTCGGATCATTTAAAAAAAACGAAGTTATTCACTCCCACCACTTAGTCAGCGTGATTTCATCAAGTAGCTAATATTAATGTTATACCAATTCGTCTTAAATACTCATCAATAAAACTGACATCATACAGATAAAGGAAATGTGCGTGCTGTACTGAGCAGATTAAAAGGAAGGGTCCTCCACCATTCATAATTAAACGTCTTCAGTGAATAATCTATAAAGACAAAAAGACAAACTGTCTGTCTCAAGATAGAAGACTAACTGGATATGCGACGTAAAGTCTCAAGCCGATTTGTTCCACATGAGTTGACTGAGATGATTTGTCACGAGATAAACTGTCCAAGATGAAAAGACCCAGACGAGTTGTCTACTCATCAGCTAGCGGTCGGTATATGTGGATGTTTAATAAGTTCTATTAGAAATCAATAGAACGAATATTTCTGCAAAATTCTTACTAGCAGATAGAAATGTGCAACTCGACCCATAGTATGAATACGAGCTCAATTCTGAGTAATTTCTGATACAGAAACGACGTTTTAGAGAAATTTTGCCTTCTCAGCAACGGATGCAATGAATTTGGGTACGAAAAATCATAGTCGTACATGGATATGCAGAGTTACGGATATGTCAGTTTTTCCGCCTACTCCTTTAACAGTTGTGTACTCTACCTACTATGTAAAAAAACAAAAATGAATATTTTTCAATGATAAATTTGCTTTATTGTTTGTTATGGCACAATCAACAATACAAAAAACGAAAAACTCAATGATTGATAAATGTGTCAGAATAGAATGTAGAAACAAAAAATCCTCAGTATCTTGAAAGGATCATTTATGTGTATACGTAAGAATCTTTCTAAACACACGCACACAAAAGTAAAAACATGCCAGTTCTGTGGACATGAATCATCTTTTATTTTTAATAATTTCAATAATTGTAGTAACAACAGGTATTTCTATCAAATATTTAATGATGACATAGTTAAAGAAATTTATTTGCTTTTTACCACAACACTCTCTCTAACTTCTTTTAAAAACTCATGCATATACCGATAATCAGTCAGTGTTCTTTTTTACAAAAATATCAACGATAATATCTATTATCAGAGGACAGTAAAACAATCAATATTTCTCAAAAACTACAGTATCTCCTATTATTTACATCTACAGATACCAAACTTGTTTGTTCATCTGATTCAAGTCTATCTCTATCATGTAACTGGACATTGTACGGTTGGGAAACGTATGTTGGATGTGATATTAAACGCAATACAAGTAAGCGAAAACGGAACTCATCAGAAATCAAATATGAACGAGTTTAAGTTATATTTACTATTAATCATTTAGATACTTGTATGCGGAAGAAAATGGATGGTACAAAAGCAACATCTCAAACAAATATTTTATTGAACTGTACAACATGCAAACTAATCACAACCACATTTTGTCTTCGACTTAAATATTTAGTTGACGGGGAAGCAAATGGTAAAGAATGTTTCGTTATTAATTATTTCATTCGTGTATATATAACTGCCTGTTTATTCTAGCATGTATTCAGTTTTATGCACTAACTCATAAAATTTTGAAAGCATCGGAACAATTTGCCTACTATTGTATTCCACGTGATCAAGCAATATTACAATGGCATACACATTCAATTATTCTACCTCCTAATTTAACGATGGTAGTGTGAATCCATTTTTCTCCTCATTACTTGATTTATTACTCAAAATGTATTTAGACAATGTCAGAACATCTTAATTTAGGTAAAAGCAGTTACTGGTGGTAATCGTGTTCACAACAATTATTCGTTAATAATCAGTGAATTGAGAATTGAAAAATGCGATGAAGGTAAAGAAAGTATTAAATTTACTGTTATATCCTGTAGTATTAACATTACTTTTTAGCTTCAATCCATTTAATATCGGAAGTAAACTTAACTATGACATCAGAAACATTGGAATTTATTCAATCTCAAGATATAAATATGCTATCATCAACATCAACATATCTATCTTCAAACTATTATACTCTTTTAAAAATGAGTAAACCACTCTTCTCACATCGAATAAAATCCAATATTCGTTTAATAATTATATTTGTTTCATTCTGTTCAGTGCTGTTATTATTGATATCAGCCATCATTTTAGTTCGCTATTTTAGAGCTAAACTAAATCGGCCAACATTCAAAACAAATCATATTGAATATAAAATATCACCGTTATACGTATCACAACATTTATACGAAGAGCCTGTGACACAAATTGACATTAGTATTTACGATCATGTTAGAGACAATTATTGAACTAGAATTGAACTGATAGTGGTAGGTTGACGATTTGAATCTTAAAGACGTTCAGAAGGTACCGCATACAAGTCTTATGTACATTCTTGCTTTTTATTGTATAAAAAAAGGCTGAAAGCTTTTGTCTACATACTAGCAGGACAAATGAATTTAATAAAATATACAAAGACTAAACCTGATGATAGATAACTATAACAGATACAATATAAACGAGAGATTAAAACAAGAATCTATTTTATAATATCTGTAAAATCACCCGACATGTATCCTATCGCTGGTAGGAGACCTTTTTGTTTGAAAATATTTCTAAAAAATACCACATAAATCCAAAATATTGTCTAACTCTAGCTTGTCTACGAAACTTACTCATAAAATTTCAAATGAGCGTCTAATTGATGTAATAATAGTTGTTGTTGTTTTGAGTGTGATCGAAGAATCTATTTTTTAATAAGAATAAAAGTTCTTACGATTAGTTGATATATACTAACATATACAAACCTTGTATTTCTTTTGATGACATTGTAAACCGTCCATTTCATCCGTTAGACTTTTGACAAATTGAGCAAGTAATTCATTTTTTGATTTTAGTTTATCACGATCGCCAGTTAATTGTTCAAATATACTAGGAAGTTGTTTAATATTATTTACTTTATTCTGATCATTAAAACTAAGAAATACAATAAAAAAGATCAATTTCATTTCTATTAAATGACTTTATTTTAATAACTATATTTGCTCGGCGAGCAATAACAAGAAAGTCAAACTTTAAATTATAAATTAAGTGTTTGACTTTCTACTTCTATTTTGATAATGAAAACAAAGTTTTTTGTCTATATTATAAAAAAATAGCGGCAGTTTATGTGAAGCTAAGCTTTTTTAACTAAAAGTGCTTGTTTACTAATAAGAATCTTTAAACACTGAATTAAAGCAATAAAATTTATTTTTTCTTGTCAGAAAATACTTAATAATGAAGAGAGTTAATGGGATAAAAAAGACATGACAACATTACTGCACACATAAATACAGACAATAAAAGTTAATAGGATATATTTTATATATAAATACATTACAACACTAAATTAGAAATTAATTTATAAACAGAGATCATATAAAAGCAGTGAATATCTTGTTAAAAAGATAAATATGAGATTTTTGATACACACACGCACATATATAACAATTAACTGAGAATACAAACGAAGAAAAGAGAGAGATATCTCAAAAAAAATTTCTGAACACACATTTACTATTCTAGAAAAACATATTCTATCATCGGAGGCACAAACACAAAAAAAGAAAAAAAGCAAGAAGAACACAACAAAAGCTAAGAGGAGAGAAAGGTAGTTAAGACATATTAGTTTATCACTAATATATGGAAAGTAGAGTGACTAGATTCCAATATTTGATCGAAGAAAAAATTATTGTTTACCATAATTCAGGAATACCATCGTGTATGTAATTTAATGCTTGATCACAATCTTTTCTTAAACGTCGTTGATCTTCTTGACATTTTTGAACATTATCACGCATCAATTTCAATTCTTCTGTTAATGAAGAATTTTCCATTTTTAATATATTTATTTCTGTCTCTTGCTTTGAACACTAGATAAGTATAAAGATTGAAAATAATTATAAACTGAAATGAGAATGAAAAAGATAAAATATATACTTTGCTCATTATCAATGCAGAACTCTTTGTATGATCATCATAATCATTGTTTACTTGTTCAAGTTCTTTTTCACGTTTTCGAGCAATACGTTTATGTTCATCAAGAGCTTTTTCCAATAATATCATATGACGTTTTAATTCATGGACTACTTCTTCAAATTTTTGAATCTAATATATTTGATAAATTGTTTAAATAAAAATTTAGAGAATACTAAACTCACCTTTGAATTTGAATGTATATTTTCTACTCTTAATGTTTCTAATTCTGATTGTAACATTGTTATTTCAACTTTTTTTTGTTCCAATAAACATATTGTATCTTTTTGTGCTTCTTTCATTGAAATTAAAAGTAATTCACAGTCTGCAATCTATTTAATAAATATAAATATTGAATACAAATATTACATTGATACTTTTAAAATATGTTTACTTTTGCTTGATATTTTTGTTCAGTTTGATGAAAATCACGTTTTAGTGATTCATTGTAGGAATGAGTATTAATCATTTTTTCATCAAGTTTTTGAGTTGTTTGATTGAGAAGACGATTTTCTTCGGCGTATGTATCGAGATCATGTTCAAGTTTATCAATCTAAATAGATCAGAATGATTTTGATGAAGTAGTGTTAATATAAAAATAAATGGAAATCATCATTCTTAAATTAAATTAACTGGTAGAAAAATTAAGAACTTTGTACAATAATTTTAACATGCTTTCCACTTGAATAGTCGAACAACAGAATACTATTGCACTTCTAATACAGCTTCATTCAAAATATTTTCATACTGTTCATTTCTACTTTCATTTTTTGCAATAATTCACAAGTGAAGAAAAGCAATCACAGAAAAAATGATTTATATTAGCTAAAAATTAAATCATAAAATATTACCTTTATTAATCTTTGAGAAGAAAATAAATCTCATCTTTTTAATAAAAAATGGAATAATTCCAAAGATTTGTAGAAGAATTCATATTCGCCTACCTTTTTCGTTGTATTATTCATCTCTTGGACTGCTCGATCTCGTTCTCTATTTGCCTCTTCACAAGAATTTTTTAATATTTCAATATCTTGTCGAGCTTCTAAATTTGTTTGAAGTTCAACACTGCAAAGAAAAAAGAAAAAATAATTGTTTTTTTTAACA